TGCTTGATCAGAGGATGTGCACTGGTACAGATGGGAACTGGAAACACAGGGAATTCAGGACAAATGATCCCTTCAGGACCAGTGGTAAGAGTGGCAATACCGGGAGGGTGGGGCGAAGGTGGGGTAGAAAGGGGACTGATTACAAGGATCTACATATAACCTCCTCCCTGGAGGTCGGACAACAGAAAAGTGGGTGAAGGGAGACATCGGACAGTGTAAGATATGACAAAATAATAATGACTTGTAAATTATCAAGGGCTCATGAGGGAGATGGAAACGGGGAGGGAGAGGGAAAATGAGGAGCTGATGCCTGGGGTTCACGTGGAAAGCAAATGTTTTGAGAATGATGAGGGCAACAAATATACAAATGTGCTTGACACATGGATGTCTGTATCGATTGTGATAAGCGTTGTATGAGCCCCCATAAAATGATTAAAAAATAAAAATAATAATTGGCTCAAGTGTGGGAATGATTGTGAGGATGGCGCAGGACTGGGCAGTTTTGTTTTGTGCATAACATCGTTATGGGTCAGAACTGACTTAATGGCACCTAAAAATAACAAGTTATTGATCTCTGATTCCTATCAAAATTACTGAATTTCTGCCTTTATAGCTTCACCTGACAGGAAAATAAGAAATGAATAGTCTGCCCTAACCCCTCATCTGAAAGAAATGATATTAGGGACAAAATAGGGACTCCAACAGGGTGGTTTCAAGTTCATGTTTTGATTGTCATTTGGATGATACAACAGTATGTGCAATAAAGAGATCAAGAGGTCTCTATTCTGAGCAGGAGTGTCCTGGGGAGATTTGACTTCTGAGCATAATCCGCTGGTCCTAGAGAACCCGTTGTCCTTTCCTATGTCCCCTTACTTATTTTCACAGATTTGCATAAGATCTGGTTCACCTTCCCCGTTTACAAATTGAAAAGCTGAGGCTCACAGAGATGACCTACCAGAGACCTACACCTGGAATTGGCATTACTGAGACTCTGGACACCTCGTTTTTCAATAACTTTTATGTCAGGGACCCCAACTCAATCCCCATGCTAAAGATTACTGGGGTGAGACGCGCCGGCCTTCCAGCTGTCATCCCAGGGAGCTATGTCAGTGGTTCTAAGTGTGGTCTCCATATAGCAGCACTGGTATCACCTAGAAGTGGTTTGGAGGCAAATTTAGGGCTCCACATCAACCCATTGATATGAAAAATGACATAAGTCTGAGCTTTAGCAAGCCCTGGCTGGGATTTCCATGTACACACGGGCTTGACAACCACCAAGCTATGTGCCCATTGAGCTTTGCCCATGTTGAGCATCAAATCAAGACACCTGGGTCCAGTGTTTCTGCCTCATATTTTCACCTCATTATTTTTTTTTAAAAAGACAACAAACTGCTCTGGTTACCCTAGGTCCTCTGTTCCCCCAAGGGCACAAGCCCACATCCTCCAAACCCAGACTTCAAGTCCTACACATCTCCCTCACCCCTACCCCACTCCCAGTCCTCCACCAGCCTACCTCATCTAGTTTAGTCTGCCGGCAAGGAAACGGAAAAGTGAAGCCCAGGGGAAGTTTCTTAGGCTTCAAATCTTGAGTCTCCATGAAATCAGACAGACAGTCAGCAATGTATTCAAACAGCTGCAGAGAAGAGACAGCAAAGGACATGGGATGAGGCATGGGTACTTGTCTGTGATGCCCAGGTGTCCCCACTTCACAGGAGCTTGAGTACCTGGGATCCTTTTCCTCGGGTGAGTTCACTAGCCAGTGGGTCCTCATTCTCCATCTGGACCTCTGGATTCCCTTCTTCAGTGACTTGAACCTTCGATACTCGAACTTTGGGTTCTCCAAGTTCCAGAACAAGAAACTCTCCTTTTGCTATTCAAACAATAAAATACATAAAAGGACCGTTCATTAAGAGTCTGTGATATGACAATTTCCACCAGTTGCTGTATTCCAACTTGTGTGTCAGAGTAGAAATGATTTTCTATGTTTTGGAAATATGTCACCCAGGTTTCCACTGAGGCATCTCTGGATGAATTGAAGCCTTCAACCTTTTCATTAGCAGCTGGACGCACGAAACTGGCCATAAAATGAAAGTCATTAAACTTCACAACCACCCTATGTGCTTGGTGTCATGACCCCGTTTCCCAAGACTCAAAGAGGGTGATCATTCATGGAAGCAATGGCAGTAAAGGACAGAGCCCAGTGTGAGTCCAAGTCTGAGCCCGTCGCAGAGGACTCTGCTGCAGGAAAGGAGCGCACTAGTCTGGAGAAGACGCAGTGACCTCCCTGTGCAGGTGACACTAGCAATGGGTTTTGAGGGTGAGGCAAATCCAGCCACAGGAAAGAGAAGAAAGCTACTCCTGCCTGGGAGGAATGTAGGTAAAGGTATG